GGAAGTTACGACATTTTGATCGGAAGCAAGAACGGGAGCTTGCTGGCTGTGAAGGTAACTTTCTCCCTTTCGCGCGCTTCTAATGTTAAATCCCGTTAAATCCACCGAACCGAGGGATTTAGTAAATCCGGGATTTAAGCCGTAAATCCGTAAATCCGGGATTTACGGAATCTCGGGATTTAACGCGCGCACAAAAATCGTTTGGCTGGATTTAGCGTAAATCCGACTTAAATCCCACGATAAATCCGATACCAAACAGCCCCGAAGGGAGCATTCATAAGCGCACAGGCTGTTCGCATTTTTTTTTGCGTGACAGAATTTCCAACCCGCTCAAATTTGAGGAAGAATTATTAGGTCCTCCTACCCGACGTAGAGGAACGTCCGATCGGAGGCCAAATAGAGCCCAAAAAAAAGAGAAATACCGAGCAATACCAAACAATAACGAAGAATACCATCATGTGAAGACTCAATACCGAGTTATATTGAGCTATACCGAGCAATACCGAGTTATACAAAAGTTGTACCGAGTTTTTCCTAGAAAAAACTCGGTACAACTCGGCATTGCTCGGTATAGCTCGGTATTGATATTCACATAGCGGTATTCATCGTTATTATCAAATAATACATAGTAATACCGAGCAAATACCGAGTTTTTTGGCGGGATTTTGCCTCTGACCCAACGTTCCTCTACGTCCTTACACCGAACCTAATAAAAGTTCCAATTTGAGCCGGTTTGGAAATCATAAGGACAGATGTTTGTAATACACTGCTCATGCTTCGGAAGACTTTTTTATGTTATGTTCAAAATTAACTGAACAAGCAAATTTGAGAAATGCATGAAATTACTTTACGTTACCCTACTAATTTAATTCAACATACCAAACAGCCCCTAAGAAAACCCACCATTGTTTAGCTTGGTTTTTTTTTTTTTTGGGACATTTAGGCCATTTAAGGCAAATTCACACACACAACGCATACACATGGACTCGAACCTTGGACCTCTTAGTTGGAAGCCTAAGCTTTCAACCAATAGGCCAAGGAGAGTTGTGTTTTAGCTTGGTTGATGGGCGAGCACGGTTGGAAACTCTCAACCCGTGCTGGATTCCTCTCGAGCGTCAGCTACTTTTAAGTGGGGTCCAGTCAAATGTGGGTCATAATATTTTTGAGGTGGATGTCTCTTTTAGGTCAGCCGAGTATTAATAATGACGCCAAACATTCTTTCAAAAATGACAGCGAGTGAATACCCGTTAAAAAAGAAAAGAAATAAAATAAAATAAAATAAAATATCTCTACACAGATCTTCTATTATCCCTTGTCCTAAATCATCCAATTGGTATCTTTTGTTCGATGCGGCTGTTTCATCTTCCCTTCCCATCCCCAACATTCCTTCCCACCAAATTTCCCCTTCAAATCCATCTCTTTCATAATCCGCAAACCCTTCACAATCTCAGATTCCCTTCTCTTCACTCCACCACTCTCATCTCCTTCGCCGCTGCTCTCACATCACCTCGTCGCGCCGCCCTTGCCGGTGGCAATGGAAGTAACCAATCCTTCGATGAAGACCTTTCCCGCCTCCTCGTTCTTCTTCCGGACGAGATGCGCACGCGGATTCAGGACCATCCCGATCTCCGCCACCTCGTCGAGATCGTCATGGATCTCGGTCGCCGCCCTTTTGCGCGGTTCCCTTCCGGAGACTTTGTGCTCGCAGATCGGTCCATTACTGTTGAAGATATACAACATGCCGCTTCCCAAGTAGGCGATTTCGCGGCGGATAACCGGGCGGGGATCTGCCATACGCTGCATAGGATTAGTGCTATCAGGAATCGTAAGGGTGAGATCATTGGGCTCACTTGCCGCGTTGGGAGAGCTGTCTCTGGAAGTGCCAATTTGTTGAGGGATTTGGTGAAGGATGGGGGATCATTGCTTCTCATCGGGCCTCCTGGAGTGGGCAAGACAACGATCATCAGGTTTGTATTTGTTTGTTCATTATTAGTTCAAAGAGATCGTAGTAATTTTGGTTTTTCTCTAATTTAAATCAGCAAAAGGCTGTTGTCGAGGTGGCTTTAGAACGAACTCAAATAGTGGGGCTTGTATGTGTTTGCAGTTATCATTAATATACTTTTTTTGTTCATTGCTGGGAGCTGGCTGTTTGTTGGGTGAAAACTTTGTGTAAAGTAAATTATTTATATTTGAAGTAACTTTTGTTTGGCTTGAAATAAAGTTAGGGTGTCTTTGGTTGCAACCATTTCAAATGCATGTGAACTTAAAATGCAGTGTAAGTTAAACTCAATACATCTTTAATATTTAAGGTTGTTTGGTTGGTTTTAAAATAAATTTAAGCGGTCAGTTTTTGGTGCTGGGATAACACATTGCTTCGAGACTGGAAGGAATGTCAGTCATAAATAATGAAATCCATATAACTCTACACCGGGTTGTGAGAACATCATACCTGTTGAGATTGTGTGGCTTTTCCGCATGGTTGGAGACCCCCTATGAACAAAAAAAAAAGTAGGGTGGCCCTATGAACAAAAAAAAGTAGGATGGTGTAGGAGAACCTCAACTCCCTAATGCAGTATAGAGCTTTTAGGGTGCGTTTCTTCTTTGTCAGGAAGAAGGCAAGAGGAGTGTATCCATACCCATACCAAAGAGATATTAGGAAGGCATCTCTATAGATTTAGTAGTTGTACTACTAAAGATCCAATCGGGTATATATATTATAGCCCATAAATTGATGAATGAGTAAGCAGAATAATAATTACAACAGTTCACGGATTGATGAGCGGATGGTGCTCCTAATAAATTACAATATGTAGTGATTTTCAAGGAATGCCAATGAGCTCATTTGGAAGACGTAGTGTAAAAAATACATGTGCTTCTATAGAAATTTAGAAACTGTACCTGCATGAGCATCAACACAAAATATTGGAGGATTGAAAAAGCCTCAATTTGGTAACAGTTTTTTATGATATAATTGTATTATGATCAATAATCATGTCAATTAGCAAAACAAATGCATTCACGTAAGTTTTAATTTTCTAATGATTTACTAAAGCTTAGAGTCATTGGTAGGTAATATCAAATAGGGGTTTGCAAGTACTATGCTGGATAGATATTTACAAATGTGGAATATCTTCATTGAAACTCCAACATTATAATGGGCAATTATGATAACTTCCAAACTTTTATTTTGCATGCCAGCTCCACTATAATCCACATGCAACTCATATATGAGATCAATGAATGATGCACCATAATATTATGATGTATGTGTGGTAGATGGAATGAAACTCTAAAATTTGTCTAATTACTAGACTAGGAGTAATTTCAAAATGAGTCCAACAACATTTTTTATTTTTATGATAGAAATAATATCAATAAACTCATTTGTAGGCAGATGCAATATCTAATTTCCTATACAATCATTCTGAAGAGTCATGAAGGGGCATAAAAAATATTTATTAATCTAGTAAGTTGCTTTATTTGATAATAACTAAGTCATTCTTTTAAGTGTAATAGATAAGAATAGCTACCATTGTATTTTAACATGTTCTTTAAAATATATTGGGTGGTAAAATAATGGAGGAATTGGAGATGCTCAATTACAATAATAGTCTATTGACTAAGTGATTTATCAGATTGAAAGTTAGATTCAGATGTATGTTTAAGCTTTAATTCAGAAACAAATGCAATCCTAGGTGCAGATAAATATGGCAGAATGACATATCTGACATGATAATATTTTTACATCAAAATGAGAGTTAAAGATTTTATAGATTTACAAATTTCTCAATAGGATCTGGCTTAACTTTTATGTAATGTTGGTATTAGTGCATGCTTAACAAGTTCTAAAAGTTAGCATATTTTATTATAAAGTCATCAATGATGTAGCAGTATAATTATTAAGGGTATAGTCAAGATATAATTTAATCTCTATGGTTCTAGAGTAAGCTTACCAAAACTTTCATGTAGCTGACCTTGGTTAGAAAATCTTAGACATGGCATTTCTTTATTAGATTTAAATGAGAATTTGACTCTTAATAGAAGCGGAGAAAAAAGATTCATGTACTCGACCTCATGTAATGGGATAAAGGCTTGATGTTGTTGTTGTTGTTGTTGGTTCTAAGCTTCATTTTTTGTTTCATGATAATAAAGATTTATTACATGTCTAATATTTTTACTAAAATCATCAATAGTTTGCATGCAATAATCCATGCGTTTTCAAGTATGCATTTTTCAAATAACTTGCTAAAACTTTTGAAGTACTCTGTCACATAATTTTTGTTTTAAGGTTTACAAATTGTTCAATCGATTTTCTATGGTGTTTTGATGAGAAATATGTTTTAAGTTTATACTTCACCTAAATGGATTATTATCATTCTAAACCTTTTGTCAAAATATTTGAGCATTACCTACTTATTTAATAGACTAAAGCACTTTCCATTACTCATATGGCACCTAGGAAATATATTACCTAAATTAGCTAACATATCTAATAAAGCTTGAGAATTTTGCCAACCATTAATGTTAAAGACATAGGTCATATCAATTAATCAATGTAAGCATTATTAGAATATGAATCGTGAAAATTTTTATATTTCTTATTTTTACAAGATTTTTAATAAGCTCTTATCATCTTTTAATATTTATAATAAAATCATCACCAAGGTTGTTAAACTTTTTATTTGATGTATCTATAACCATGATGATATTACTATTTAAGCTATATGCTATGAAAGACATGCGAATATGTTAGATGAAATGATTATAAGATCTGCAAACTATTGTGGGCTCCGAAAATTTGCACCCCCGGCCTCTCCGTGCCAGTCTTTCTTTTGTTTTGTCGTCAAAGAGAGTTTTAGCAGATTTATGTTCTGGTTAAATTCTTAGAATGCAAATTGGATTTTTCCCTCAATTTGCCAGGACTTTATGATACGAGTTCTTGTTTCCTATAGGCACATGCCCCTATAGTTAATTACCCCTCCTGACAATGAGAGAGAACTTTCAATTAAAGTTAGTCGTGAGATAGATATTGAGTACCCAACATATAGTAGTAACAACTTTAGGGATTTTAACATTTAAATTTTGGGAATTTTTTAAGGTTTGAAATTTATCGCCGTATACTTAAAACAAGTGATTGAGGTGATATGTTATTCTATAGTCTTTTACTTGCATGAATTTCTCAACCTTTTCAAGCATTTCAAGTGCCTCGTCCTGCCATCCAAACTAACAAATGTTCTGTATTAGAAATATACACCTTTTGTATAAGCACTGCTCTCCTCACAAGTTTTAGAAGCTAGTAATTGAAAAAGATGCATCCTCTTTTTCAATAGGTTCAAGGTAGTCAAATTATCACTCCCTCCTAAATAATTATGATAATATTTGACATATACTAGTTAGTTTTGATTGATGAAATACATGATTTAAATTTGAGTTTCAAAAGAGCTATTGTATATCATTCAATCACAATCATAAGTATGTGGGGTTTGTTTGTCATTTAAAATTTTGGTAGCCTCCCGACGTCCCCTCCCCTTGAGGGGAGGTTGGGAGAGCACTTGACCTTTCAAAATTGTTCAACCGAATAGGATTCGACGGTCGAGGACTTCATGACATTGACAGATCCTGAAATCGATCTTCAGGGCTTCAATTGTGTGGCATTCTTGTTAATTAATTATGACTTAATTAACATTAATCATCCTTTTTTAATTTTCTTGGATATACGATAGCCTCCCGGTGTTCCTTCCCCATGAGGGGAGGTTAGGAGGGCACTTGCCCTTCTAGATTCGCTCGGTCAAATTAAAATCGATGACCGAGTGCTTTGGGGGACTAATTGACCCCGGGTAGGTCTTCAAGTCCTTCGATTGCTTGCAGTATCTATGATTTAATTTTAGAAATACTCATTTTTATTTCCCTTGAAAATCCGACAACCTTTTGATGCACCCTCCCCGTGAGGGGAGGTTGGGAGGGCACTTGCCCTTTCAAATCTGCCTAAACAAATTAAAGAGTTGACGACCGAGAGCTTCAGGGGAATAATCGACCTTGGTATGAGTTTTCGTTGATCCTCATCACAATACCTTATATATATATATATATATATATATATATATATAATTGGAGCTTGGGTTCTTGTGTGTAGACGGAGGTGGGGACGGATCAAGCGGCATCGAGCGTGTGGGAGGAAGTAGGCGGTTGGGCCGAGGCTTTGGGTTTGAGGTGGTTGGAGGGAGTGCGGTTGGAGGGGGGTGGTTGTATGTTAGTAGTTGTGAGATATGTGGGTTAGTGTAGTTGGAGCCAGTTATGTTGCGGGTTTCAGGTTAACACCTATACAAAGTATAATGCCTAAGTTATTTTATTGACAATCTAATGTACTTGCATATACAATTCACGTAATTTTTACTAATAATTAAATTATTGTGATTTTCAATATTATGTAAAAGGAGATTAGATCTTAGTTATGTCATTCGCTTGCAGTATATTTACTCAAAAAAATAACTCTCATTTTAATGGTAATAATTACAACTGATGGTATGTAATAATATTCAAATTATTTTGAATGGGGGCTTTAATACCTATCGCTTGGACTTATGCACGGCACAATTTGCCAATTGACACAAAATTTTAATCGACATCTTATACTTGAATTGTAGTAAACTATCAAACCTTAACTGTATTGTTGCCTTTGAAGTTGATTTTAAATTTCTTGAGTGAGTACATCGTAGAACCTGCACTATCTTGTTGTAGATGAGCAATTATTGTAGAATCTAATTGGGTTTTTTCCTTTTTTATTTTTCTTTAACTTTCATTAGTTTTTATTTTTCTTGATTTGAACTCTTCCAATCTTTTCTTTTGCACTTGTTTTCAATTCTCTACTTTCTTTGTTCATCTGATGTGTATAGGAGAGAGTAGTCAGGCATTAAGGGTGATTTAAGTTTTTTATTTGAATGGATGTTAGAATAGGATTGGGATAGATTTTGTGGAAAGTTTTTGGAGGAGTGTGAGGAGGGCCAATAAAGTTTACTGTTTACATGAATAATAATTTTGCTTTTTTATGGCCAATAAATCAACAAGAACATAAATGAACAAAATATTTTTGGTTGAAATGATTCCACATCTTAATGAAAAATTATTTGAAGATAACAATCCTGCAGATAGATTGAACCAAGATTGTGGCTCTTACTCAAATTTGATGCATAATAGCAAGTATCAAATCGGGAAATAGATGAGGAAGAAGAGTCTTCAAATCAAAAATACGAATTTTACTTGTACTATAAACTGTCTTATATGTCTTGGAGTGCCTATTTTTATAGATACGAGGAATTAAAAACTGCTAACATATTAAAAATTGCTAAAAATATATTGGGCATTGATTAGGCCATCCTAATAAAATAATAAAATCTAAAAGATATAGAGTACTCCAATGTCCATAACAAATTTAAAAGTCAGAATTTATGTTCACATCACAGAATTTTAGTTGTCTTTTATCTTAGAGATAGGCCATTTCGAAGCATTTGCTTCTGTTCTTGAAGGGCTGATTAAGCCTTTCCTGCCAAAGAAACTTTTTACCAGTTATAGTTTATCAATTAATTTTCATTACATTAAAGAACTGTAATGAAGGTCCCCGCTGCTTCTACTGTAGTAAAGTGCCTTCTATTGATGAGACCTCTTAGTTAAATGGAACTTCTCTTTTTTTTTTTCTTTTGTGGTAACTTATTTTTGTTTTCCTACTTTCTGGCTCACCTATAAGGGCTTGATGTTGTTGTACTTCTTTCTGGCTCACCTATAACTTGGATCACCATTTAGTAATATGCATATATCCTACCTCAACAGAGAGATAGCTCGGATGCTTGCAGATGACTTTAAGAAACGAGTAATGATTGTAGACACCTCTAATGAGATAGGCGGAGATGGTGATGTTCCCCATCCTGGAATAGGCAGTGCTCGAAGATTACAAGTACCAAATTCTGACATGCAGCACAAGGTATAATGTTGTTAATCCTCTTACTGCCATTTTGAATATCTTTCATTAATGAGATAATTTCTTTAATTGAGGTTTATTACTCTCATTAAGTTTCTGTTCCTTCTAATATTAGTACTATTTTCTGTTAGGATTTAGCAAGTAATAATCTAACCACAAAGAACATAGACATTGGATTTCACCACCAGACTTTTTGGTATTCTTTTTATGGATCAGACAGTTTCATTTGGAACTTTTCGTTTTGGCCTTCATGTAGATTTATTGCGACAATTCGTGCTTTGATTTATATGATTAAATTATAGTGACCATTTTGCAATCTTCATGTTTAAATAGGTATTGATTGAAGCTGTTGAAAATCACATGCCCCAAGTAATCGTAATTGATGAAATTGGCACAAAGCTCGAAGCATTGGCTGCTAGTACCATTGCACAGCGTGGTATCCAGCTTGTTGCAAGTGCTCATGGGGTGACAATTGAGAATCTCATTATGAATCCATCATTAAATATCCTTGTTGGAGGAGTGCAGGTATAAGTTATATTCTTTTAATACTTTAATTTTGTTGATTTTATGTTGGTTAAACTTCAGATGTTCAACTAGTAGTGTGAATATAATCTTGAAAGTCTTCTCTATTTTATCCATTTTCTTTTTGGTTTATTTTTTTCAGTTCCTAAATCTTAATAATTTAATCTAGAGTTTCTTGTTTCATGCAGTTAAAGTGTGGGATATATGGTCTCAATTAAACTGTGATCTATGCAGAAAATACATTCACTTTTTCAATATCCATATAGTTTTTGAAAATTTGTGCATGTCTGGAGATTTATCTATCATGATGCGGCATGGTTAAAGTGCCCTTATGGATTTGATATTTTTCTATCACTTTTTGCAATAAAGGGGGCTGATTTTTTTCTAAAGGATTCTAAATTGATTGATTTTGAATGCATTCTTTATGTGAAGAAACGTGAAGAAGGTTTCTCAATCTGCTTGTGAAAACTAACAATGATGATTATCATTACTGTTGAGGAAAAAAGAGATTTTTGTCTTATTCAATAAAAGAGCTCTTTATTTATAAGAAGCTAATAAAATGTCCTAATGAACACCGAGCTAATCATGATTCACTTAATATATAAAGGTAACTTTCTTAATAAAAAATTAATACTAGCATTCTCTCTTCAAGCTGGAGCATATATACAATTAGCTCTAAGTCCTTACATAGCTTACAAAAATGTATTAGACCCAACGATTTGTTCTGGGAATCTGAGGAATAGTGCTCTTCTTTGGTAGCACTGCATTTTGAATGAAGTGATAATTAACTTCATGGTGTTTGGTTCTTTCATAGAACATTAGTTTAATGGAAATATAGATGACACCACGATTCTCATAGTTCTAGACCATGTTATAGAGTGTGCCATGGCTTTGCATTCTATCTCAATGCCTGATCTGGCCACCATTGCTTGTTTCTTACTTTTCCATGTGACTACCAACAAATATGCATTACCTTGATGTAGGTTTTCTATCAACTAATCTAGCATATTCAGCATCAGGATTGGATTCCACATTAAGTTACCTATTTGTGGTGTATTGCAATCCTTTCTCGGGAGACTTCATAATATACCTTAGGATACACATAATAGCTTCACAACATTTTTATTTGGGAGTTTGTATGTGTTGACTAACATTTTCTACAACACATAGATATCGTGATTGGTGATAGACAATCATCTTACCAACCTAAAGGCTAAGATAATGAGAAACACCCTTCAAAAATTCTTCTACATTTGCACCGTTCTAAGTGTCTATGGGAGTTTTAGCAGGTTTATGTTGTTAACAACCTAGGCAAACAAAATTCCTTGAAATTTTTAGGATGACCCAGATCTTTGGTAAGAAAGCATTTTTATAGACAATATTTTACGTAGTGACCCTCTTTTGGTCACTTCTGATAAGTAGAATATAATCTACATAAGATATCAGAGCCAAATGAAGTGTGTCTGACAAAGGTGAGGTGATTTTTTTGTATTATTGTGAAGACAGTCTTCAATATGAACATGGCAAAACTCATCAAGTCAAGTTCAACGACTTTTGCTGTAATTCTCAGCACAAAATGAGCAAAATTGAGACACATATTTCTGAGTATAATTAATTTAGCAAATAAACTCATATGACTTAGGAATAATCATCAATAAAATAATAAAATACATAAAACTCTAAATTGGTAAAAATAAAACTAGGACCCAAATGATAGCATGAATGTAACTCAAGTGGAACACTTTTAGGGCTTAACATTGGGGCTGAAAAGACACTCAATTTATCAAGCTCACAAACATCACATTCTAACTTCGATAGAGAGGAGGCAATAATAACAAAATCTTGATGTCTTGGCGGTGGATGATGATGCAAATGGCGATGCCACTGATATGAAGTTATGGTGGAGTAGAAGTCTTTTGTCCAGTAGTAAATTTCATAAGATTGAACACCTCCATCAATCATTTTACTCGACTGAGATCCTAAAAAAATATAATGAGAAGGATACAATGTTACATAGTAGTTGTGCCTTTTGTTAGATAGAGAATGTGAAGTAAATTGGCAGAAAGTTTGGAAAAATATATCAACTTTGGAGGGATAAGCTTTCGGAGAGAAACATAGACTTTTCTTAGACACGAAAAGGATAATTAACAACAGTAATGGCAAATTGTAGATAAGACTAGTCAAGATGAGAGCAACCATCATTTACTTGCCATACATGAAAATATTAGAATCTAAAATCTTGGATGTAATAGAGGCAACAACTACTTAATCATTGGATGACATGAGATTAGAGGCAGACATAGATGCTTGAGAGTGCTGAACGAAGCATTTGTTATATTTCTGAGAAAGCGAAAGGGGCATAAAAGAGATAGGAGTGGAGGCACCATCAACAATTACAGTGTCTAGATGAATGGTTAGAAGTGGAGGGGATGTTCGAATTTTGCCCAACAATGCTATAAAGGATGATTATTATGCCATAGTGAAAGCAGGAAAAAAGTCTTTCCCTTATAGGCACAATCAATGTCTGTTCGACCATCACAACATGACCTCTACAATGCCTTGTAGCACAGGCAGCTTGATCATAAACCAATGGAGCGGGAGATAAAAGCTAAGAAACCCAAAGAACATGCAAGAGAAGTAGTTGCAATGCTGGAGATTATAGTGCAGTTGCAATACTGTTGTATTACTTGATGGATATATCATTATATTGTAGAGGAAATATATACCCTAGAGATGTTACATTCTCATAATTTGATTGAGCGAAAAATCATATTCTGCCTTGGCCATCTATTAAAATATGGCAATTTAGGCAATAGGAAATTTGAGACTATTGGGCATATTGAGCATTCAAGTGAGAGAAATATAGTTTGATGCTTATCATTTGAAAATTTTGATAGTCATTGTGAGCTCAAGGAAGCACATCATGGTGAATGAAGTTGCGTGAGAGCCAACAAAGAAGTGAAAGAGACTTGACTATAGGAGTTAGTTGGTAGCATTAAGTTCTTGTGTGGTATTAATGATGGAAGATGATTTCAAGTCATTGAGAGGAGATTGAAAAGCCATGTTATTGCTGAGTGAGGGAGGGTTGCAGGATGAAGAGTTACCTCAAGGCTTTGATAAATGAGAAATGAGTAAGGCAAAAGATGGGCATGCTCCAGGTAGGGAGTGAGTGCGGCATGTGTGAATGTAGCAGCAGGAAGGGATTATGGCATCAAGGGGCAGTGGGATCACAAGGCGAAAGCTTGGGTGTGGTTGGCTGCGCATGCTCAAGCAAACGAGCAACAAGTGTGTTGGCTCAAGTGAGTGAGGAAGTGCAAGTGGAAGCGCATGTTGAAACACGGGAAATGCCAAATGCGAGGTATATTAAGTTGGGGGCTGGAAATTTGGATAAAGAGGTGGAGAAAGAGAGGGAGGGGCTGTGGCTAAGGGTACCAGACCTTCTTTGATATCATGTCGAGGAAAAAAAATTTCTATCTTATTCAGTAGAAGAACCCTTTATTTATAATAAAAATATATATACAATATCCCATATTATAATTTACAATTTATGGTTCACTTACTATAGAGAAACATTCTTAACAAAAAAACTTACACTAATAATATCCCAAATAAGAGCTTTAAGCACTTGGAGACATATTATCATGCCTTGAAAATTTAAGAGAGGGTTTTACTGTACATCATGAGGTTCATGCCAATTCTCGCTAGAGTGGTTGAAGTACTTTGCCTTGCCCTTACCTTCAGAGTTAGAGCGGTTATTGTTATGATTTAAATCTATGCTATAGTGTTAAAATTCACATGCGAATGAAAAATAGCTCCATATCATGCGTGAAAACAAGAGTTAAGTTTAATATACTAATAGGGCTTTGGCTCTTATTAGCTTATGCTTTCGGATTGATAGGTATGCATCTACTAATTTATTTGGCTCTACTTGGTCCCTTGGTGTTATGCTCTCCTAACATTCAAACCACAATGGAAGGAACCTAAACTTTCCTCAATACTAGCCTCGGTTGCTGCACATATATTTGTTTTTGGGATTTGTAGGTTATTGCATTTTTTCAAGTTTTGGTGAGTAGAAAAAATGCTTTTGTAGGGAAAATGAATGCGACTTATACTTTATATATACAGCAAGCAATTAAGCTTTTCTGTCCAATTTCTAATCAGTTGATTTATGCACTGAAAAGAGTGTCACCTTAGGCGATGAAGAGGCTAATCGAAGGGGTGTTAAAAAGACAATTTTAGAACGGAAAGGACCTTCAACTTTTACATGCGGTGCAGAGATCATCTCCAAGATTGAAATGCGGGTCCATTGCAGCTTGGAGAGAACAGTTGATGCACTTCTTGCAGGTTATTTCTCTTCAATATCATTCAGCTCTTTCCCTTTGGAAATGATTCCTTTTTTCAGTCTAGAATAAGATTTTCCATTATTTTAATTTGTTCTAATGGCCGCAGGGCGTTACCCTTATTATGAAGTTCGCAAGATGGACTTAGAGAAATCTACAGAAGAAATTCTGTCCACGCAGAAGCACTCTCTGGATGATAATGTTGGTGCTTATGATGATGAAATCATCTATAATCCTATCAGCAATAGTAGATCAAGTGACAGTAAAGGGAATTTATTGGAATCTCTTGAACCTAAAGTAGGCTTTCACTTATTCGTTTATGGGGTAAGATGCCCAACATATGCATTTCCATACTCATTACTATTTTACTCTGCAATTTCCTTTATTTCTCTAGAGTCGTTGCATTTATTAAGAAAAACAGAACATTTGTAAAAATGCATCTTCTTTATTCGATATTTCCATGTTTCTTATTTGAATGGAAATATATTTGTCACGTTTAGCAACAATGCAGTACTTCCATTTGAAGTAGTAATTCATCCTAGTAGCCAGCCTTTTTTTTTTTTTTTTGACAACATAGTTAAATCTTAGTTTTGAAATTCATAGCTGGTGCTTTTAAAACCTTTTACTTAGGTAATAGAACTGTAAATCTTCTCTCTTCCTCTCTCTCATTTATTGGCACTTGGTCCGTAGAGTTCAGGGAGTATGGTGTAATCTTTTGCTGCTAGGAATGACAATTTTCAAGAAATGACCTCTGTTGGTCTACGACCAAATGCAATTATCCTTAATATACCTATCCTTTTGCCTTCTGAAATTCTTAATTTGACAGTTAATTTGGTTGCCACATTGCAACTTGATCAGTTGACCTCCCATCTCTCATGATGTCTTTAACCTTGGTTCTTCTCAACTTATTTTTCCATTTAAACTTATGTACTACTACTAATTTAAAGTTAACTATTGTGGTATAAAAGAATTTAATCCTCTTTCTTATTGATAGATTACTCTGAGGATACACAACATTTGTGCCTAAATTTAAAGCATCCCAAGCATGAAATGCAAAAATGGCTGATCAATGTGTATCTTCATGTTGCTCAGTATGCTTTTACTTTTGGCCTAGGAAGGGCACCATTTGTATTAAGGCCATTTCTTTATAATTTCTAGAATTTGATTGAAACCTACTCTGATCTTTCCCTGATTTTATTATGGATGAAATGCCTTTGTTGCATCTTATGGCCTCATGGGCTTGAATGAAGAAGCTTTTGAGTGAACTTACTGTGATACAATAATCATTTTCTTAAGCCTAGGATACTAATCCATTGAGGATTACTTAGCTGGTAACTAATAGATTGAACAGCTCTACTAGATTACAGAGACGAGCATTCTTCAAGCAATCAAACAGCTGGAAATGGAAGAAACTATCGTTCTCACTGATAACATCAGCAAAGCAGACGCAGTATTAGGCCTACATTCCAAGCTGAAGAATAACTCTCAAATTCAGACTCTTGCCAGATCTTATGACATTCCCATCTATGTGACTAAGGTAAGATTAAGACTTCGTTTGGGACGACTTTTTTATTGCTTATTGAAACAACTTTCTAGTACAAAAATTTTAATTTTATTACTAAAAAGCTGCTTCAAGAAGCAATAAAAAAGACGTCCTAAATGAAGCCTAAGCCGAAAGAAACTGAGATTCTCGCTCTCTCTGTATTGTTCCTTCTTTTTAAGTTTCCAAGTGTTCAATGCTTGCAGAAAAATGCTTTGATTCAGATAACAAAGGCTATTCAGGCACTTATTAATGACCATTTCCAAGCAGCCACAGTCTTTGACGCAAAAGCTCAAGTCAGTTTATCAGAGAAGACTGATGCTTTAGAGGTAGTAAAATATGTCTCAAATGTTAGAATTACAATCATATTTTTTTAATCTTAATTAAACCCTTAGCATACTGTTACGGTTCGGCCTGAACCATCCAAACTGGCCCCACCTGTGCTGGTTCATACCTACAGGAGGCGGACTAAGCCGCCTCCTTTGAATGATGCCTAAGTGTGCGCCGCCCCCGCGGCGGCAAAAAGAGAGAGGGAAGGGGGGAATTTGCATAGGGAAATTATTTGAATAACTGATTTATTTTTGGAAACCTTTTATTGGCTTTTATTAGGAAGATATGTATTAAAATAGGAGGGGAGGCTAGGGTTAGGGCAAGCATGATTTGAGTTGTTCTCTTGGAGTTGTCCCTTGGCGTCTTGGGCTATAGACTCATCGTCTAGAGATTGGGAGAGAATGATCCTCCTCTCAAATTGAGAATCAATTGTATCTTTGCTTTATGTTTGCTTTACTTTGATTCTCCTAATACAATCTACCGTTTTCGGTTGATTTCGTTGGCGTTCTTGTGTTCTTTTTCGCCGTTTTTACTGTAGGGTTGCTTGCGAACTCAAGTAATTCCGATATGATTACTTGCGAACTCAAGTATTTCCTATCACATACATACATTGTCTCATTACTAATGAATTACTGTTATTAGGAGGCAAGACTGGCCATTGAACAGGAAGTTATTTCTACTGGAAAGGCAGTGCAGCTCCTCTCAAGACCAACCCAGATCCTTTCGGCTCAGATTAAGCTAATTGAAGGATACAAACTTAAATGGGAGAAAATAGGTCAGGAGCCCAATATTTCCATTCGAGTACTTCCCGATCATCTGGAAAGCAGAAATAAAAGCCCGACGGAGGAAGACGAGGAGACGATGAACATATTTGATGATCTGAGCAGCACAGGCGAAGCCATTGTTTCAGAAAATGGCGTTACTCGATTGCCTTTACTACCTGACTAGTTCACACTATTGTTTATCACAGTGATTCTTCCATTGATCCTCATCTCTACTGCTTCCTCCAATGTAGATACCTGAGGTGTAGAATCCTGAACTGTTTAACCTTTAGGTTTTGTTTGGGACGGCTTTCTTACTGCTTCTTAAAACACCTTTTTAATACAAAAATTACTCTTACATAATCTTTTTATATCTTTCTACCAAGAGTTTCAGGTTCTATTTCTCATGTCTTGGTTGCAATGGATTTTTCTTGTATACCCCTATTTTTACCTGTTGTGTGAGAAGCCAAGTAGAGAGAGAATAGAGAGAGAATAAGGCTTCATTTGAGAAAAAAATAGTCTGTGCAGTGTCCGGATGCGTCCGGAGGCGAATCTGGACATGCCACGTCACCTAGGGCTAGTGCATCAGATGACATGGTGCGTCCAGATTTGCCTCTGGACGTGTTCGAACGCCGCACAGAATAATCTCTCTCATTTAGGATAGTTTTCTTATTACTTTCTAAAATAGATAAATTTCCTTCCAGATCATCAAATATGGTTTTTTTTAATAAAAGAGAATAGTATGATAAGGTATATTTCTGAGAATAAGGCTTCACAGGGATAGTATGATAGGTATATTTCTGACAAACAATTTATCACAAAATATTTGCGACAAAATTATTATATATTACAAAATATTTACTTTTTTTTTTCTCTTTATTTTTGCTAATAAAAGAAAATAGATTTTTGATAAATCAATTAAAAAAAATTCGACGGATTGATTTCTATCATAGTTTTATTAAATATAAGTTTCAATGGTTCATAATGAAAATAAAAATTTATATCAGAATATTTTACGATAAATTATTTCATAATGAATTTAAAATTATTAAATTTATATTAAGATTAATATAACAATTTTTTATATATATTTCATGACTCTCTAAGAAAATTTAATAATTTTTTATTAGAAAGAATATTCTAATTAAGTTGGTTTATTAAGATGAAGTTTAAATTCATGAAATTTCTTTTTAGATAATAAAATATAAAATTTAATTACTTATTTATATATTTATTTTTACGTAAATTTAATAATTTTGAGATTTATTTTGACTAATTTATAGTCATAATATATTGATGTAAATTTAAATTAATAATTATTATATTCAGTACTAATAAATAAAGTGCTAATGGGAGCTTCTGGTTGTACGGGTGAACTCATGGGTTGGAAATTTATTTATATTCGTGTATATATGAATTTTAATTAAAATTGCTCATAATTAAAAAAAAAGTTATTTTTTTTAATTTATTCTATGATAAGTCTAATATATGAATAACTAATTAAAATTTAGCTATGTTCATCTCAATATATTTTAAACCCTATTCTAACAAAAATCTCTATTAAGATATTTAGTCAAATTAAAATAAAAAGATATTTAGTCAAATTTAAGGCAATAAAATTGACTTCATCAAATATTTTGGTGCGTATTTAAATTGAAAATATTTGAAATTAAATTTAGGATCATTGTTGCCCTATTGTGATCGATTGACCATGATATCTTAATTACGAACATCTGACCATCATAACTTGATTATGGTTCTCTGATCACTATAACTCGAATATGATCCTCTGACGATCATTGTCTAATTATAGTCCTATATAATATTAAAATGCTAAACTCTCGCACTCTATCACCACAAATATTATAGAACACAATAAAATTATAGCCAGTTAATAATAACCAGATAAGAGAACCAGAGTATAAAATGAACTCTCATGACACAATTGATAGATAAAAATGCCATATACATTGAATTATTTTATAAAATAAATTAGCCGACAAAAATAAAATTAGTGCAAGAGCATATATGTTCAATCAATATCTTATTAACTTAAATAAATGATCATCAAGTCATATGAAATAGTATACTACCAAAGTAGGATAGAATACTTATATAAGCTATTAGTGAGCCATGCCTTTCAATTGACTAAACCACTTATCCCATACTTAGCTAGAGAGAAATATTATAGTTGTCAACTAATTTAGTAGAAAAAAAATTATTAAATTTTTTATAGCAAAGCACTATTGCATCATATTTCTCATACAAATTGTTTATATTAAAAAAAATAATAACTTTATAAAGTTTTTAGTCCTCATATAAATTAAATACAAATAGGTTATTGTAGTTTATGATGAGTTAATTAAGCTAGTTCTAAATTTGAAGTATACGGGTACTCGGTTTCAAAGGAGGTAGCTATGGACAAAAAAGGCTTTGTCATTCATGATTCATATTATGGAGAAGTGATTAGAGTGTTGTTTTTTTAGGGTTTCTTTACACCGACATACTCTCTTAGGCTTATCCTAGCTACTTGGTCATGTATAAATATAGGACATGAGATATGAATATAATATATACACTAAAGGACAAGAATGAGAAGAATGAGAACAAAATAATGACTAGATCATCAACTATAAACTTCCTCCACTCTCTTGTAAAAGTTAGCTAGCTAGCAATCAAACAAATAACTAAATTTTGGAGAGTAGTAGTCCTTTTAACTACTATTCCACTTCAAAGAGCCTAAAGTTTTGAGTGAAGGCTTTAAAATTGCTAGGTATGTATGTTCATTAAATATATTATGGATTGATAGTTTTTTACTTATGTCATGGATGATTCGATATTCCAACATTCGTTTGTCGGGATGACAGTGCTGAATACTTTTTTCTCTAGAGTGATACTCATTCTTTCTATCGACATAATCCACATGTTTTCTGAAGCAAGATGTTAAAAAAAGTTTTAAGTTTAAATTTATGGAGATTAAAGCTTCGTTTGAGATAGCTTTCTTAATGATTTCTAGTACAAATATTTATAGTTCAAGATATTTTGTACTAAGAAGCTACTTTAGAAAACAGTAAGAAAGATGACCCAAATGAAGCCTAACTCTATTCATAGGATAAGGATTTTTTAACAAGACGTATATATTCTAATTTCATGAATGTGAGATTAAGATAATTTTTATATTTATGTATTCTCTTATATATAAATACTATCATTGGTGGCCTAAACAAGTCCCTCACAGAAGGCATCTGATAACAGACCAAAGAAAAGAAAAATTTAAAGACAAAGTAATTGAGAGGGAGATTGCTGATAAAGAGAATCGCCTGATCTATAGATAAAAAGATTTTTTTTTGTTTGTTTGTTTCTTGACCAAGATGGAGAAGATCCTATACTTGATTCTATTAGGTAACTGCAAGCTATTTCTCTTCCCTAATTTGCTTGATCTCACCCATGACTATATCAAGTGTTTATTGTTCTTCCTTAACAAAGTGGTAACTTTGATTAATTTACTATTTTGTGAAAAGAATATCTACATATAATGCTATTTAAGGCTTGATGATAATTGTAAACTTTTTGGACTTATGATGATAGATATATCTAATTAAATCATGTAAATTTATGTGTGCTTATGGTTTCATTTTACCACATGCATTAGAAAGATTTGTTTAAAATGAATATGAAATATTTTGGAACTTTGGGTTGTTCAAATATGAGTGGATTGGAAATGATATTAATATGCTGAATATTTTTTTAATCTAATTGTTGCGTGCTGGAACATTCATGATGGTAGAGAGAGATATAGAGTTTAGCGTTCTATCATTGTATGAAGATCCAATACACATGCAAATAAGAAAGAGGAGTGCAATAGTTATAAGAAAAATCATAATTTTTACGTGAATACTCTAAAAAGGGGAAAAAAAACCGATGGGGACTTACCAATTTAAAATGATTCCACTTGTTTTTGTTATTGATTATAAATGATGTTCTTTATTGGGGGAAGATGTTCACACAACGTGTAAATATACATCATGTAGAGCATATTACATGATTGGAGTTAGAAGAATCCAAAGAATTATTCTCAAGAGAACTTTGGCATGTTGGTCTGTTAATAAGATCATACTCGAACGATAGAGATTAGAGGAACCGTAGTTGATGGGCGATAGTGATCAGAGGGATCGTAGTTGAGTGACTGAGGTTGAGATGACCGTACTTGGTGGGTGACTGTGATTAGAGGGATCGTAGTCTGGTGATTGAGGTTGAGGGGACCGTTTTCAGGTGACAGATGTCGGAGAAATCATAGTCTACAGGAAACAGAGATTAGAAGAATTGTAGTCGGTAGGAGATGGTGGTCGGAGAGATCGTAGTCATGCTACAAAGAAAAGTCGAAGGGACTGTAGTCGGGTGATTAAGGTTGATGGGACCATTATTTGGTAACAAAGGTTGTAAGGACCGTGGTCTCGTGATGGAGGTAGAAGGCATCATAATCAAGCGACTGAGGTTAAAGGTAATGTTCTCAGGTGATAGAGGCTGGAGTGACTGTAGTTGGCAGGAAAAAGAGGTTAGAAGGGTTATAGTTGGAGGGCTATAGAGTTCAGAGGGATCATAATTGGCAGACAATGAATGTCATAGGGACCGTAGTCGATGAAGCAATGGATAATAATAATAATAATAAAATAAAATAAAAAATCTTAAAAATAAAAGTAAGATTTGATTCACCAATGGTTATGCGCGGGTGGAGTTCCAGTACTCTTTGATTTTCAGAGCTCTCTTGCCCAGGGCTTATGCCTCTAAAAAGTCTCCTTAATGTAGAGAGTGCAGGAATATTTATAAATTTTGAGAGTGAAAAGTTCCATAAATATGGAGAAGATCCATGAAAAATTTGGAGTGCTCAATCGGACGACCCATATTAATTCCCTTGATCATAGAACAATCATTCAACATTTAGGTGCCTTAGTGATATCAAAATTAAGCGTTCTTGGGCTCGTTAGATTTTCTCGTTGAGTCGCTTGATTCAACTATAAACATGCCAAATTTGGAGATAATTTGGTTACCTAATTAATGCTTTGAAGCTTTCAAATATGATTCGATATCTTGAATTCGGACCATTTGGGCTTAGATTGGACCGATTTGGTGTCTTGGGTTCGACGCATTGAGGCGTTAAATTTGACTGTAAGTTTGTTGAAATCAAAGATTTTGATAGTTCCAAATTTAATTATGAAAGTTTCCAATTTAAATAAGCATTAAGAATCACGCTCGATCAAGGAGATTTTTGGAGACGAGCCACTAAAAAATTTAGAAACTCTAAAACAACCTCAATCAAATAGAATAGTTAGTTCTGTAATTTAGAAGTGCAAATGATTAATTCT